CATCTGGCCTCCACAGTCATCTGGCAGGGATGTCACGATACGGCTTTGCTCAAGAGGGAGTTCAGACTAAGGATAAGCATCTGAGTCAAAAAGGGCCTTGGATGGGTGGTTTCCAGCCTCCAGTGATGAAAACTCCAGGCTCTCCCGTGGCGTGTCCTGATTTTGGAGGTGACTCACTATGGGCTAAGGCAGTATTTTTCAAGACTTTTTTTTTTTTTTTTTTTAGCCCATACCCTGTCTGCTTAAAGACAAAAGCTTTACCATCAACCTGTGGTTTTTATATATCATCCTGAGGGGTTATGTGGCTGGATAAGAATCAGTGGGTGAAGGAACTAAGGGAATAGAGGAAACGAGGTGTTTGGTGGCAAACCTTTAACCTTTTTGGGGTTGATGCCAGTGAAGCCTTCCCACTGCGTCCCAGGGTCCTGCCAGCAGAACCGAGACAAGGGACACTGAAGGACACAGATGACCAGCAGAGAGGATGCCTGTGAGAACTGGCTACAGAGACAACTTTGCTGGTGCTTAGTTAATTAACAGTGTAAGGGAGGGCAGGCTGGCCCCTGGGACAGCCTCGCCGGCACACGGGCAGGAGTCACAGATGGCCCAGTTGGCAATGTGACAGTTCACTTTTGGGAAAAGGGAACGCGCCACAGCTGTTCTCAGAGTGAGCAGGGTGGCCACTGGCCTGCACTCGTCCCTCTGTATCTGTGGGGGTTTGGTTCCAGGACACCCTTGCCCATACCATAACGTTCAAATCCCTTATTTAAAATGGTGTGATATCTGCATATAACTAGGCACATCCTCCATATACTTTACATCAGCTCCAGATTTATACCTAGTACAACGTAAATGTTACGTAAATACCACTGTACGCTCCCTCTTAGCCTTTAGGATTGCTTGGACCACTTACTCGCTCCCCTTCCCAATCATTTGATCATTTTCCATTCCTGGTTGGTTGAATCCAAACCCAGTGGATACGGAGGGCCGACTGTGCTGGAGACCTGGGAAGGGGGGATCCAGCCACCAGAAGGGGGCAGCACTTTCCTGGACTAAGAGATTGAGAGGCCTCTTAATGCTAACTAGGGGGTTGTGGTCAAGTGAGTATTTGGGTGGTGAAGGTTGTGTGGAGGACAGGGATGGTGCAATTTAAAAAATATTTTTTGGAAAAAGATGGGCTCCCTTGGGCAGGTGCTGATGTGTGGGCAGCCGTATCGAATCACCTTGGAACTCGAGCTGCCGGAGTCCCCTGTGAATCAGGATTTGGGCATGTTCTTGGTCACCATTTCATGCTACACCAGAGGCGGCCGTGTCATCTCGACTTCTTCACGCTCAGTAAGTGTCTGGGCCCGTCAGAGCGGGGAGAATGATGGCAGATAACATCTTTGGCTCTGAGGTCACAAACGCCTTAGGATGAGGAGGAGGAGTCTGTCCCCAAGCAGCAACCTTGGCTGTGCAGCCCCAGCTGTCTGATGAGCACCTCCGGCTTTAGGGTCAAGTCTGAAGCGTTGGATTGGGCTGCTCTCCAAAAACGGGCTTCGGAGCCTGCAGCTTAAGAGTCCTAACGCAGACAACGTACAGCCCAGGGCAGAATCCTTAATTTCTTGGTTATAAAGCATTAAAATAGTAACTGCCTTGTAGCAAGACTAGTTTGGAATGGGTGAGGAAAGATAAAGCGCTTTCTATAAGCACGCAGCCACTGTCAGTGAGTCCATTCCGACTCACAGCGCTCCTATAGGACAGAGTAGAACAGCCCTTAGGGCTGCCAAGGCTGTCTTTTCGGAAGCAGACTGCCACGTCTTTCTCCCACAGAGTAACTGGTAGGTTTGAACCGCTGACCTTTTGGTCAGCTGAGTGCTTTAACCAGTGTGCCCCAGGGCCCCTTAGTAGCACATAGAGGGTGCATCAGGACTTCGACCCACACTAGACTGCAGAACTGTGTGTGGGAAAAGGGGACCAGAGGCGGGATTGAGCTTCACCTAGGAGGGCTCTGGAAGAGAGAGAGGTAGGCAGGCAGGGAGGAGAGTTACTGAAATAGTTGGGTTGAGATGGGCATGGGGTGCAGGGGTGATTTGGGGGGTGGGAAGTTAAGGTAAAGGAACAGCCCTAGTTGACTGCTCAGGCTTGGCTGAGGGGTAGGTCAGGAATCACGGGGCACCTGTCCCCAGCCTCTGCCTCCCTGGCCCTGGCAGGTGATGCTTCATTACCGCTCAAACCTGCTGCAGACACTGGACACGCTGTTGTTCTCCGGCTTCCTGCTGTTCGGCTTTGTAGAGCAGAAGCAGCTCCTGGAGGTGGAGCTCTACTCGGACTACAGAGAGAACTCGGTGAGAGGAGTGGAGCGTGACCAGGGGGCAGCCCGCTCTGTCAGCGGCAGTTCGGCCTGAGTCCCGGGGCTCAGTTGGCAGGGACAGCTACAGAAAGGCTGGAAGCGGGCCTCCGACGGGGCTGGTAGGAGTGACGGCAGCAGGAACCTGATGCTGCCCCCACGCCACCTCTTGCAGTATGTACCGACCACCGGAGCGGTGATTGAGGTCCACAGCAAACGCGTCCAGATGTACGGAGCCCACCTCCGCATCCACGCCCATTTCACAGGGCTCAGGTGAGGAGTGCTGAGCTGGCCCTTGGCCACTCTCCCGGGGCCACCCTCACATGAAAAGGGCAGAGGTCACAGGGTTCACTGAACAGTGCTGGGTTTTACACAGAGCTCTGGCCACACACCAGCTTTCCCTGGGGAGCGCTGGAAAAGTACTGATGCCCAAATAGAATGGGGAGAAAAATGTAGACTAAAACTAAAAATTCTTTAAAAAAAAAAAAAAGCCGGACATCACTGGACTGGTAGAGATGAGAAAAAGCCCTCGGACTATCCCCCTGGGATACCCTTTAAGCCTGAAACTCAAACCCCTCCCAGAGGTCACCTCTCAGCCAAAAGACAGAGTGGCTCGTCAGATAAATGTCACCGTGAGTACTGTGCTGCTCTGAACATTCATCAGAATGAGACCTAACGGTCAACATTTACCCTCGACCAGTGAGGAGAAGGAAAGGCAGATAAGGGGGCTCCTCACAGAGACAGAACCGCCAGGACACAAATAATGAGAACGCTGACTACTGTGAAAAGTAATCAGTGTCCTGGAGTAATATATGTAGAAGCGGTTAAACGAGAGCCTAATTTGCTGTGTGAGTTTCCTCCAAAATCACAGTAAAATATTAAAATATATATATTTTTTATATATATTAAAATATATATATGTCGATGGCTGGGCCCCACTCTAGACCACTGTGTATGGCCAGAGTTGAAAACGCCTGTCTTGAATCACCAGGAGTTGGGGTGACTCCTGCCAGCCGGCCACGGTGGAGGCTACTGCCTGTGGCCCTGCGATGCTGGAAGCTCCACGTCTGAGCTCTGGTAACTAGGGGGACGGCCGGGGCGGAGGCCAGCTCCTGTCACTTGAACAGATGGTTTCTGGGAAGCGAGCAGGCCCGTGCCGCCCGGTGACGGCTGCTCCCGTCGTCCTTGTGGCCGCAGGTACTTGCTGTACAACTTCCCGATGACCAGTGCCTTCGTCGGTATCGCCAGCAACTTCACCTTCCTGAGCGCCATCGTGCTGTTCAGCTACATGCAGTGGGTGTGGGGAGGCATCTGGCCCCGGAACCGCCTCTCTGTGCAGGTTGCAGGGGTCGCCTCTTGGGACCCTTCTTTGACTGTGACGTGGGCAGGGGCACGTTGATGCCTGGGAGGGAAGTCGGTCCGCACTGCTCAGTCATTTGTCCTCTCCAGGTTAATATCCGAAAAAGAGAGAATCCCGGAAAGGAACGGAGGCTCTCCGCCCGTCAGCCAGGTAAAGGTGATGGGGAGGGGGGCCTGCTCACTCAGGATGAGCTGAGGGTCAAAGGAAGGGCTGGGGGAGGTGAAGGTGGCACTGCCACCCTAGCCCCACCCTGGCCTCTGCCCCCTTCGGAGGTGCAGGGCTCCAAGGCCGGGAGGAGCTAACTCAGTCAGATGTCACAGAGGACAGCGAGACCCCGCAGGACACCTCAAGCCCAGGTATGATGCCCCCGAGCTCCTTCCGTCGACTCGTTCTCCCCCTTCAGCCTCCAGCAGCGCCACCAGGCCTGACCTCTGCAATCCCCCTTTGGCTGCAGAGGGTCAGCTGTCTGAAGAGGAAAAGCTAGAGCAGCATTCCCTGCACGGAGAGGTGGAGCTGGAGCCCGAGACCAGCACCAGCGACGGTGAGGGCCGCCCTGAGCTGCTGCCCTGGCGGGGGGGGGGGGGCGAACTCTGGGTGTGCGGAGGGGCCCCTGGTGACCTGCGTTCCCACCTGGGGTTTGGTTTTCCCCTCCTTGTCCCAGGCTCGGGCTCCTGGGAAGATGCGGCTCTGCTGATGGAGGCCAACCTGCCTGCGCCCACGCCTGCCTCTGCCTCTGCGCCTGCCCCCGAGACCCTGGGCAGCTCGGAGCCCCCTGTGGGCGCCCTCCGCCAGCGCTCCACCTGCTCCAGCTCTTGAAGAGAAGCGGGCAGATTCCTCACATTCCAGCACTCCACCCCCCACCCCGCCCCGTTTCCCCCTAATAAACTATTTTCGTGCCAGCTGCTTCCTTGACTCTGGTGAATTCAGGGCAGTTATTTGACAGCCCCGCAGTCCCCAGGCACCCCCTCACCCCGTCCTGACTGAAGGAGGCTGTCATGTCCGGGGCTACCTGTGGGGAAGGCCTCCAGACCCGGACTGCCTCAGCCACAGCTGCTTGCACTCAGGAGCCTCTGCGGGCCAAGGGGGCGAACCTGCCTGACCCTTGGCAGGGTCTGCGCTCCCTTCATGTGACTCTCCGCCCTCTGGGGAGGGGGCGAGTGGGGAGTGGAGCTGGTCCATCCTGCTGACCTCTCCCTCCCTCCCTCTCACTGTCCATTGGGAGGCAGAAGACAGGAAGTGACCGCCATGGATATGGTATGATTTTCACAGAAATAGCATTTTGTCGTCCGCGCCCTATGCTGTCTGCAGCTGTTTTCCTCTCTGATACCAGCCAGGTGGCCCTCGCCCTTATGCCCCCACCCCCACCCCTTTCCACGATTCCAGTCAGGATCCTCGGCTCGCAGCTTCTACCCCCCTTCTACCTTCTACCCCCCTTTCGGGACCCAGGCGTCCTGGCCTCCAGTTGAAAGCGCTGCATGTGGCTTTCCCCCACCCTGGCCTCGTGACTCAGGCCCTCAGGCCCGCTGAAGGGACCAGCCCTCCTCTCTCCACTCGCTGGGGGGGAGGAGGGCTAGTTGGTGACATCACAGTTGAAGGGTATAAAAGCTGCTAACCCAGAGAGACTTGAAATCGAAGACACAAAACCCTACGGTGTAGTGTGCGCTCCTGTGGACCCCTCAGCCTGATCCCTACAGACTCCCGGTCTGAGGTGCCACAGCGTCAAGGCCACTGGTGAGGGGCTGCTGTGGGCCAGGGAGGGGTGAGGGGAGATGGTGGACAAGCAGGCCAGGAGCGCTTGGACAGAACCAGCACTCTAACAGGTAGGGAGTGAGGAGTCCAGGCTCGCTCTGCAGGTCTCCTGTGCCCTGCCCTCCTCCTCTCTCACTTCTGTGTCGTCCCTGGGTTTTCATGTGCCATATGTCACCGACCGATGTTTGTTTCACTAGATCTTTACTCTGGATGGCAACTGGGAATCACTCCACCTTCCTCCCTAGGCTGACTCAGTCCTGCTCTTGCCCCCAGCACGTTGGTTGTTCATTAACTAGTTCCAGCACTTCGGGCATGTTGCTGGTTCCACATCTGTCTGTCTCTCTCCTGTGTCGGACCATATTTTATTCCTTTTGCCCAAGCGCAGTCTGAATGCAGAAGCTGGCTGATAAATGGGTCTGTCTCATTCCCACCTCTTTCCGGCTCCCATCATGGCCCCCAGTTTATGTCCCTGTCCTCGGTGGTTCTTTTGAGGCACGGGGTCTGGTAGGCCTCTAGCCTTAAATAGTTTTTACCTGTAGTTCCAGACGCCATGGTGACTTCTACCCACCTGCTGTGGCTCCTGGCTGTGGCCTGCTTGGTTCCCAGAGCTCAGTCCTTGGCTCCTCAAGGCTTTGAGGAAGAGGAGGAGGAAGATGAGACACTAAGGACACGCTCGTCGTCTGTGCCCTGTGACTACGACCACTGCCGTCACCTGCAGGTGCCTTGCAGGGAGCTGCAGAGGGCCGGGCCCAGTGCCTGCCTGTGCTCTGGGCTCTCCAGTCCGGACCAGCCGCCGGACCCACCGCGCCTAGGAGAAGTGCGCATGGTGGCCGAGGAGGGCCGCGCTGTCGTCCACTGGTGCGCTCCCTTCTCCCCCGTCCACGAATACTGGCTGCTGCTTTGGGAAGGCCGCGGGGCTCCCCAGAAGGGGGTCCCCTTCAACTCGACCGTCCGAAAAGCTGAATTGAAGGCCCTGCAGCCTGGGGGGGCTTATGTCGTTTGCGTGGTTGCTGCCAACGAGGCGGGAGAAAGCAGCGTGCCTGGCGTCGAGGAGAGCCTTGAAGGGGCCAGCTTTCCTGCCTTCGGGCCCTGCGGCCGGCTGGCCGTGCCCCCCAGGCCGCAAACCCTGGTCCACGCGGCCGTGGGCGTGGGCACAGCGCTGGCCTTGCTCAGCTGCTCGGCCTTGGTCTGGCACTTCTGCCTGCGGGATCGCTGGGGCTGTCCCCGCCGAGAGGCCGCCAGGGCCGCCGCGGGGCTCTGAAGGGGCCCCGGGGGCTTCTCCGGCAAAGCCACGCCGGCTGCACCTGGGGAGCTCGGCGCGGACCTAGGGGAGGAGCCAGTGGGGGGCGCCGCGGCCCCACTCAAGCTCAATGGCTGGGCAACAAACAGGCTGGCTGCGCGCTGAGCTGGGGGCCCAGGCCTCCGTCTGTTCTCCGGTTCTCGGGTCTGAGTGCTTCTTGTTTCTGGCTGAGATTGAAGAAAGAGAGAAACTTCCCCCCCCAAAAAAAAAAAACCAGCAACAAGCTGGTTGACTCCTGGCAATCCCGGGTGGTTCAGAACACAATTGCGCCCCACAGGGTTTTCAAGGCTGTAATCTGACGGAAGCAGAGAGCCAGGCATTTCTTCTGAGCCGCCGCTGCGTGGATTCGAATCGCCAACCTCTCAGTCAGTAGCGGAGAGCAAGCCGTTTTCACCACCCAGAGACATGACCATAGACCAGGGGTCAGCAACTTTTTCTTAAAGAGTCAGATAGGAAATAATACAAATGTTGCCGTCCAAGAGGATATAAACAAGGGTGTTATATAGGTACTCACATAACCGTTTAAAATGTAATCATTTAAGAATGTAAAAACCGTTATTAGCTTGTAGGCCTTAACACATCAAACAGCGGACCAGATTTGGCCTGCTGAACCACACTTATACAGCCTCCTTTCCTCCACCCTCAGAAAGGCTCTGCCACAGTGTTTGCACCGGGAGGCAGCTGGGGGCAGAGGGGCAGGCTGGGGTGCATGGGGGGGAAGGACACAGGGAGGAGGTAACTACAGGGAAGAAGTGGGAAGACAGCTGTTACTTTGTGGGGAATTGTGGTCAGTATCACAAGACAAAATGTGTATGAACTGTTGTATGGAAAATGAATTTTCTCTGTCAACTTTCACCCAAATCACATAAAAATTTAAAAAAAAAAAGAAGAAGAAGAAGAAGGGACGCTCTGCCACTTAAGGTGGCTTCACTGGGACTTTAAGAAGAAGCTTCTGCAGGATGGGAGTTTGGGACCAGAGACACCCTTCTCCTGCTTTTTGTCCAGTTTTAAGGATGGACACAGCTGAGTCAGATTCTGGTCTGGGTCTGAGGGTAGAAATCAACGACTGATGCGAAGGCGAGAAGAGCGAGACTGGGACAAGCTGGTGGTCCTGCTGTTGTTGTTATGTGCTGTCGAGTCGGCCTCGACTCATAGCGACCCCTCCAAGGCAGTATCACTATGCAAGTAGATTGTCCAACCTTCCTTCTGAGGAGTAGCTGGTGGGTTTGAACCGCCAGCCTTCTGGTTAGCAGTCAAGTGCCTTAGGCACTGCACCACCAGAGCTCCTGTTACTTAACAAAAATAAATAATAAATAATAATAACCCCAAGGATTGCCCCCTTTCCCACTCCTCTTTGTGTTTATTGTATATCCACTTAACACCATTAAAGGAAGCTTAAAAACAGACATTTTCATTTTCATGATCTTTTTCAATTCCCTGTCCACACATCTGTTTTTTCAGAGTGGAATACACAACCTTTTGAATTTATGTTTAAAACTGGATAGAGAAAAGTGTGTTTTGTATTGCTGCACAATAAATACATAAATAAATACACCCATTGCCACCTAGTTGATTCCAACTCACGACGCCCCTGTGAGTTAGTTACAGAGGGAAACTTCACAGGATTTTCTTGGCTATAATCTTTACAGAAGCAGACTGCCAGGCCTTTCCTCCTTGGCATTGCTGGGCGGGTTTGGACCTCCGACCTTTAGGTTACTAGTTGTGTACCACCCATAGTCCTTGATTGGTCTTAGAGCTGGTTTCCGTTATAAAAGAAAGATGCAGACTTCAAGGACTATTGGGAAGTACAACGTGGGGGTTTTCCTCAAGAGCTCATTGCCTTAAAAAAAAAAAAAGGAGAAGTTAATTGCTCTGAGCAGAGCAGACCTATCTCTATGCTGCTGTTGTTAGGTGGCACTGAGTTGGCCCCCACTCCTAGCGACCCTGTGTACAACAGGACGGAACATTGCATGTGCCTCCACCTCCTCACAATCCCTGCTCTGCTTGAGTTCATCATGGAG